GGCAAACTCTCGTACCACATAAGTACGACAGCTTATTTCCAGAGTGCACGTTGTACCACGAGTTTGTGACATGAATGCAGCCGAGCACGGGTGCTTGTAGATGGAAGTTTACAGCGCAGGACATTTTCCAGAGAAAAGAATATTTTTTGGTCGTCGCCAAGTTCGCGCTGATGGAAGTGTTGGAGAACGATTGGTTCCCAATTACAAGATGACTGCCGGAGAGGTCGCCTGCGCGGCCAAGAAGGTGATGCGATGCGGCCTTGGATAGGAACGCTCCAGCTACTTACAGTCGTAGTATATACGATCAAAAGGCACAGGGCATCACGCGAGGCCCCAGCATGGCAGGGCGAGAGCGGACGGCCAATTATTGACGACGCGCAACGGAGCAACATGTGATGCACCACTTTTGCCAAGGAGATCGACTGGGCCGACGTGATGCGATGATGCGCCTGTTCAACGCCCTCGCATGATGCCTACTGCCGCGAGGTCGCTCCGGACGCGGTGGCGCCCATAGACGAGGTTGCATTCGAGCGGCCAAATTTTTCCGCGCGTATCAAGCCGGTCCTGGAGGACGTCCGGTTCCGCGTTCATATGTGAGACTATCCCTGTGATGCTCTCGCAACGTGTATTCTTGCGGTCGTGTAGTGGCACCGTCGCTGTAGTGCTCGTTATTTGCGCCAGCGAAATTGTCGATCTCATGACGCGGGTAGCCGCGGTGCCCCTCTGCTTTTCCAGCCTCTGCGCGTGAAATCTGCGTGGGTAACTTGGGGCGCGTCGTCCAGCCTGGTCCAGGTGCGCGCGCGGCGGTGCTTGGCCACGTTGGGCCCTTTCGGAGATGGACTGGTAGTTTGGGGTGACGTTCTGGTTGCCCCCTCTTATTGGAGACGCCCGCTGCGATTCCGCCTTCGGCCAGTGGTGGTTCTTGCTGTGGCGCCGCTATCGTTGCGAGCGGTGGGCGCGTGTGTCTCGCCGTCGTTCGTGGCATGGCTGCCGCCATGTCGTCGCAAAGTCCCTCAGGCCCTGCAGCTCGGCCCCCGTCGGCTTCGGCCAGTCGCGCCGCCGGCAGTTGGCAGCGACGACGCGCCGCCGCGCTTTGTCTCCGCGCTCGCGCGTGCGCGCCTGAGTACATGGTTTAGCGAAGGGGTGCCAGCGGTGGCGCGGAGAACCGCGGGCGGATCTTGACCGGGCACAAGCCTTGCCGATTGCGTGTTCGGCGCGCGCTACGCTGAGACGCTGGTGCCCACCAGGGGCAGACTCGCAGATATCGGCTCCTTGCTTGGTCTATCCACGCGCGGCCGAGCGCGGCAAATAATGTGGGGCGACGGAGAGCCCCTGATGGCGTGCGACAGCACTTGCGCGGGCGATTCATGAGTGTCAGCGCGCGGGGGGCGTGCTAGAGCCGCGCAGCATGCAGCTTTCGGTGCGCGCGCAGGACGGTTTCCACTTCCTTCGCTGGTCATATCCATGGGCATCTTCAGTGAGGCCGATCGGCTCGGTGGAGGTCCTCGGAGTTTCAGAGACGTCTGGCACGGGCATGCGACGCCGACAGTTGCAGCCCGCGCAAGCCAGTTTCCCTCCCCTTCGAAGGGCATTGTTTGCGCGGCAGCGCATCGAAACGAAGGACATTGCACTCGCGGCAGGTTCCCTGGCGCTTTCAAGACTTGCGCACAAGGCGGGGTCACTGCCGACGCCAGCCTCTAGAGGAATCGTTTTTTTTTGCAGACCTTCGTTTGCTGGGAACCTAACCGCGAGCAGCGCGCTAATCAGGTCACCGACATCTACGTCCTCGACCACTTTACATGAAATTCCTGCGCAGGGCGCGCAGGGCCATGCATTCGCCCCGCCCGTTACGGCGCGGAGCAGCGCTGCCGCTGCGCATTTCCGACGTGCTCTTGCACGTTGGAGGCGGGCGGGCGGGGCAATCCAGGGCGATTTCCGATGGGGCGAGAGTTTCCAGGGCCAACGCGCCCCGCACAAACGTGCGTGGCTTAGAGAATGGGCGGCCATGTCAGAAGAATATGCTTTAGGTGCGGGTGGTTCCCTGAACATGCATGTTAAGGCATCTACGCAATGGGCAAGGGAGCGCGCCGGGCGCATGACATTGCGCAGCGGTGACTGTTAGCGTCTTCGACTTCTCGGAGTGCAAGCGCCCCCTGAACGCGCGCCGCGCCCATCCGTGGAATTCAGGCATGCGTGCCCGCGTTGCCCGCGAACGATGGTAACCGAGGGCGCCTGCGCCGCGCGCGCGATGGGGCGCCGTCCAGGCCTGGGCCGCGTGCGCGCAAAAACGTGCAGTTCAGGCTGTGCAGAGTATGGGGCGTTGACTGTCATGCCATGAAACGGCTACGAGCTCGTGCAATTGACCCACAGGAAGAGGAAACTGCGCATCTTCCGTCAGGTACTACAACTACTCGTACTAGTACTAGTACTAGTACTAGTACTACTACTACTACTACTACTACTACTGCTACTACTACTACTACTACTATTTCTACTACTGCTATTTCTACTACTACTACTACTACTACTACTACTACTACTACTACTACCACGGGAGACTACAACGTGAACGAACGGAGTAACTCGGCCAAAAGGACAGGAGGGCGGCTGCAGCGCGCCGAGGGGGGGCCACTGCGAGGTCAAAGCCAATGGGCCAGCTATCATAATCCACCAAGCTGCACCCCTGCCTTAGTATTCGGCGATCGGGTGGGTCACGCGCCAGAGCCCCATGAACCGCAGCACGTACGAATAGAGGCGGATGCGGCGCGCGCCGCGGATATCAGCCCGAATTTTCTTGGGCGCAAGATTAATTCATATCTGCGCTTCTTCCTGGGCCGTCGACGCGACCGACGCGCGCGGCGCTACGTCGAGCCCGTCTCCAATTTCCGGGCGAGAGTCACATGGCTGGACGCCGCGAGCGACGCGCATTGGGGCCAATCGAGACATGCGCAGTCCGCGAGTTTCTGGATTGCGTTCATGAGAGCTGGACTAGTAGTAAGTCTACTTTCAGGGCCGCCCTGCGAAACCTGGGAAGCGGTGCGCTGGGGCAACTGCCGCCGCAGACGAGACAGCCCCCGGACCGGCGTGAGACACCAGCGAGCCTTGGGGGCTCGAATGGCTCAACGCAGGAGAACGAGAGCAGATGCGCGTAGACAGTGCCCCCCCCCCCCTTGCGATTTACCTTGGGGGTTTGAATTTGAAGCAGTGATGCGCAGCGCGCGCGCCACGATTGAACATTTATCTTCCCCAGCACGGAGTGCGCGATGCGCGTCGGCGTGGAGACTGCTCGGGGCGAGGGCCCTACTTACCTGCGGGGATGCCGACGTGGCCAGCTTCGACCAGTGCATGTTTGGATGCAGCAACGGAACAACTATTGCGCTGCTCTGTGTAAACCGACCCAGGGCACCCGACTTACTCGCGCAAGGGGAGAACCAAGGTCTGTTCAATCACCGATCATGACAGTAAGCGGCCCTGGATATCTATCGTGCTCGCCATGTCAGCACCGCGCCATTCAAGGATCACTCTCCGAATGTAGGTTGGTTCAACAGCAAGATTTGTCGGGGCGTTTTGGCGACGATGCTGCATCGTGCGCGAGAACTTGGCTGCGTGCACCAGGCGCCGGCGAGGTTCCGTTGCAAAGCCCATGTGCAACGCCAGATGCAATCAGACTTCGCGGGCCGCACAGTTGAAATACTTGCCGCAGATGCACCGCCGCTTGGTTTGCGCGATATCAGAGGGGCTTTGCGCGCAGACAGAGCACGCATATGAGGATGCACGACATGAAGCAAATGGTGGCCTGTTGCATAGTGCGCTACCGCCGTGTTATGACTCGCCCCCAACGTGATCACCTGCCGTCCGTCCTAAACTACCATGCCAGGGCCCTGCCGCGGGGTGCCTCGGGGCAGGCGTGGTCGTGCACCGTGCGCGTGCCAGTGCCGTCGCATCTCCGCAGCCGCTTTTCTGCGCGGAGACTTGCACTTCGGGCAGACTCGCGCAGAATCGCCGCGGGCCCAGCGGCGAGCGCAATGGTTGCCTCCGAGCAGAACGTCGCCCACGTGGATGTGGGCACCTGCGACGCAGGCGCCGTCCTGCGCGAGGCTGTCGCGAAGACGGCGGGCGACCGCGCGGGCAAGTGGCTGCGCGTATTCGTGGGAATACTTTCGCAAAAGTAGGACGGCGACGTCGGCGAGGACCTCGCTTTCTCCAAGACGTCAACGACGCCGTCGAGCCCTGTGTCAAGAGGTGCCAGAGCAAGCTTTCGAGCTTCTGCGAGGCCTCGGGCGACCGCGCGAGGGGCGCGCGCGCGGCCGCGCGTGGGGCGCGCGCGCGGCGGACGGGCGCCCGGGCTCAGCGCGTGACGCCGCGCTCGAGCTGATGTCCCTGAAGCCGCAGCTCCATGCGCCGCGCCCCCGGTGTATCTGCGCGACGGCCAAGAAGTGCCCCGAGCGTGTCCACGTCGAGCACCACGTCGAGCCAACGGACGAGATGGGCCACGTGAGGATCCATATCCCCCAGGGCAATGAGATGGATTGGTGCATGCTCAAGTGCCAGCTGCGAATGGAGCTCTCCGACTGCGCGAGCGACTGCCGACCCGAGTACTTCGACCATACAGATTCAGACAGTCATCAACATTTATTCCATGCGGTCGAGCCTGATCGGTGCCCCAGCCAATTTGCAGTGCGCCACTTGCAGGCCCGAGGATGCGAACGAGGCCCGCTACTGAATCCGCAGTCGCGACATGATCGGCACGTGCGTCAGCGGGCACCAGTGGAAGGGCAACGACATGCAGGATGAGTTCAACGTCGCATGCGTCATATGCGCCAGCGCGCCAGGCAGGCCTGGCGGGTCTACCGCAGCACCAGGCCAACCGAGGCATGTGCCCAGCGCCAGCTCTGCTTTTTACTTGGGCAGGAAAGGATTACCTCGCTCCCCCCCGCCCTCACCCCATCCTCGCGCCAGGCATCATGTGGCACTTCGCTTGCTACCTGTGCGTGCGCCTGACGCTGCAGGGTGAAGGCTACTAACGTCGTGGCGCATGCCCTGGCACTACCTGCACGCGCGCTGGATGCCACAGGACATCGCTATGGGCAGCAGTCATTATTGTATAACACTACCAGACATCCCGCGGCATTCCGCTTCCAACGTGCATATGCGCATGATGCCGCAGGGCAGCGGCTGCATGCTAACGTCGTCGCGGCTGCACATGTGCATTTATTCTTCTGGATGCCGCAGGACAGCGCCAGTTGTCATTCTTGTGTTGGACCCAGCCACCCGCGCGCGCGTTGCCTTGCGTATGCCGTTGACGCTCCTACAAGCGATGGGCTCAAAGCTGATGTATACGTACCAGTACGTGCATATGGCCGGTGTGAACTACAAACGCATCGTTGATAAGTTTGGGGGATACCTACGTTCGGGGGCAGGTGCATGCGTCCGAGATCTCCCGTGTCACAACAAGTGGATACACGTTGTAAAGGGTTACCATTGCCGAGTATGGGGGGCCATATTGTACCCTCCGCGACGTCGATGCGGCCCTGCGCCGCTACTTCAGGAGCTGCACAACAATCCGGGCAACATCTAAACAGGCCACATGTTCGGGATATGCATGCGAAGTTACCACTGGTGACCGGGTGGTAGGATCGCATCGTGGACAACCGCATCCGCTTTCTAGATTACTCAGGCGTTACAAGACATTTCATCCTGGTGGACTGTCGACCATGCGACCCTGCTGTAAGTTTCAGCTACTGCCTCGAACCCCGAGACAGACGACTGCGCCGCCCTCTAGATCGACGAAGGTACCTCTGCAATCGGACAGCTTAAGATTTTTTTGCAAAGGTACACGGGCAATCGGCAATCGTATGATGTGGACCCAGACCAGTGCGCGCGCGTGAAGGTCTACTACCTGTATTGCAACTTCGACGAGACTGCCGTTGACAACGGCACGAAACTCCACTACTGGCCCACGGTCGCTGGAGGCAGCAGGTAGCGCGCAGACGTTCTGGACTCGCAAAGCAACCCGCGTACGCAGGACATCGTCAACAACGGCGGCCTGCCAACCCCGCCAGGGAACCGCAGCAAGCGCGCGCTGCAGGTCCATTGCGGGCATCATAAGTGCGCGCGTGGAGAGGCCGCAGAAGATGATTGCCCAGAGGTAGTACCTCAAATTCCACAGGTATCCATTCCTAGTGCAGGCTACCGATAGCCTGAGGACAGCTGGGAGGAGTTTGCGACCTCTTCAGCGTTACGGACAGTGTGCGCCATGTATTACGGTACGCGCAAGGTGCGCCGTCCCTGGCACCTCAACTGCCGTTTCCGTTGCCTCCCCCACTTCCTTCACATGATGCTAGGGCGGATGGTAGCATCCTTCCTCCCTCTCCCCCCTCTTCGGACAAGGTCCCCCTGTGGTGCCGGGGTGCCCCAAGTGCGCGCGGGCCGGCCGTCGGCGGCGGGCGGCGCGCGCTCGAATCGGGGACAGCGCTGCTGCGAGAAAACAGAGAGAAAGTGAAAGAGAGAGGGAGAGAGAGAGAGAGAGAGAGAGCGAGAGAGATGAGGTCAAGTGAAGGTAAAGTCAAACAACTCATCAGCGATGTTGAAATGCACCCTCCTTTCAAGGGCCTCTTGTCGTAGGCCTACATCGATGGATTTGTATGGCGGGAAATGTTCCGTTGGATGACAAATGTCTGACGTCTGAAGATTTGCGACCATGCCAAATCACCATTCCGTGATGCCTTTGCGATGTTTTACGACGAGTGTGCGCGATCTTTAGGCGAAAACCGCATTGTGAGAACGGCTCGCCTTCCATCCGTGAAACTCCAGCTAACTGCGACGACGAACGTGCACGATTTTGAGGTGATAGCCGCATGTTGAACACGGCGTGCTTTACATCAGTGGAATTCTTGCAACAAGTTAGGACGAATGTGCGCGGCTCTCAGGCAAAAACCGCATGTTGATAACGGCCACGTTGCATCCATGAAGTTCTGGTGCATTTCAGCTTTACGGTCGTCAGTGGTGAAGGAGTCTCAGGCGGAACGCCCGGCCTGGCCTACCGACCCGTCTCGGGGTGCGATAGGGAGGATTTATTAATAAGGCAAAAAGGGTTGATGGGGGAGGAGGAGGACGAAAAGGAGGAGGAGGGGGGGAGGAGGAAGAGGAGGAGGAGGAGGAGGAGGGGGAGGAGGAGGAGGAGGAGGAAAAGGACGAGGAGGAGGAGGAGGAGGAGGAGGAGGAACATGAAGAGGAAGAGGAAGAGGAAGAGGAGGAGGAGGAGGAGGAGGAGGAGGAGGAGGAGGAGGAACGGGAGGAGGACGAGGAGGTGGACAGAAGGGGTGGACAGAAGGAGGAGGACGACAGGAGGGGGAGGTGGGGGCTGGAGTGGCCTGGCTTTGGGCCCGCACCCGCGCGCCGGCTGCCCAGGCCCGAGCTGGATTTCGGGACCACCGGCGGCGGCGAGGGAAAGCCGCGCGATGGTCACGCGCCGGGCGGAGCCGGAACCCCGCATCGACGGCTCACAGGGGTCAGTTGGGGGCCACGGCATGGGGGGGCTGGCTCGGCGGGGGAAGCCCCGGGCCCCTCCTCCTCCTCCTCCTCCTCCTCATCCTCTTCCTCCTCCTTCTCCTTTGCCTCCTTCCTCCTCTGCCTCCCTCCTCCTCAGCCTCCCTCTTCTGCCTCCCTCCTCCTCCTCCTCCTGCTCCTCCTCCTCATCCTCCTCCTCCTCTTCCTCCTCCTCCGCCTCCTCTCGGGTTGACCCCAAAAAGGGTCCAGCGACAACGGGGGGGTGCAATAGATTTGTTGCAATAGATTTGTGGGGTTGCAATACATTTGGGGCATGCAATACATTCCGGGGCGCAGATGTATTGCTGGGCTTTCGCTTGCAATAGCCTTTTTGCAATACAGTGCAATACAATTCTCTGGCGTAATACATTTGCAATACAATTGCCCCAATTCTATTGCACCACCCCCTTTCAGCTGGACCCCTTGATGGGTCATCCAGATGCTCCTCCTCCTCCTCCTCCTCCTCCTCCTCCTCCTCCTCCTCCCCTTTCGATTCTCCTCGTGCCCCCCATGACTCGCCGATCGGGGCCTGGGTGCCCCAACCGAGGGGCTCCCCCTCGGGGGCCTGTCGCCGATTTTTCTGCAGTGTGCTATCGAAGTCAAATCATTGCTTCCCCCCCTGAGCCAGTCCCCCACTTTCGGCTCCCCTCAACTATGCGGGACCCAGGAATATGCGCCACCCCCACCTCCATTCCTCCTCCCTCTTCTGTCCTCCTCTTCCTCTCCCCAGTCGTGGGAGAGGGAGGGGGCGAGGGAGGTGGTGGTGGGGCATATTTTTTTAGCCCCGTAAGATTCGAACTTCGAGGACAGTGTTGAACTCTCACAATTGAATAGTTATCGTTGATCCCCCCTCGGGTGCACATTTGTTTTTTTCAATTGAAGTGCCCCTCCCGTCGCTTGCACCTTGTTTTCAACAGGGAAAGTCTTCCTTCTCAAACTGTGCCCCTGGCCCCCAGTTTACAACAACAACAACAACAACGGCTCCCGCTTGATATTTCCTTGGAATTTACTCCGGTCCCCCGCTCCCGCTTGAGACCTGCTCGCAATTTACTCCAGAATCGCGCTCCCGCCTGAGATTTCCTCCTCACAATTTACTCAGGCGCCGCGCTCTGGCCATTCAGGAATCGCGCGTTCGCTGGGGACTTCTTCAAATTTACTTAAGAATCGCTCTCTCGCTGGAAGCTTCGTGGCTCTAATAACGCATAACTAACTCACGATCGGTCCGCCCGCTCGGCCCGCCCGTGAGTGTCATGCCCTTCGTGCCCCATTCTCAGCACCCTTTGTGCCTCATTGCTTCCCTTCGTGGCCCCTCCCCTTGTGGCCCAGTCGCTGCCCTTCGTGGCCCCGATGCTGCCCTCAGTGGCCCCTCGCTGCCCTTTGTGGCCCATATATATACGCCTTCGTGGCCCCCAGTTGCTCGTGCCCTCAGTGGCTCCATTGCTGCCCCTCGTGGCCCCAGTGTAGCCCCGTGTGCCTCCCCTCCGCTGCCCTCAGTGGCCCCCTCGCTGCCTTTTGTGGCCCATAGATTCGCCCTTCGTGGCCCCCAGTCGCTCGTGCCCTTCGTGGCCCCGATGCTGCCCTCAATGGCCCCAGCGTAGGCCCTGTCTGGCCCATATATACGCCCGTCGTGGCCCCCAGTCGCTTGTGCCCTCGGTGGCCACATTGCTGCTCTTCGTGGCCCCGATGCTGCCCTCAGTGGCCCCTCGCTGCCCTTTCTGGCCCATGTATACGCCCTTCGTGGCCCCCAGTCGCTCGTGCCCTCAGTGGCTCCATTGCTGCCCTTTGTGGCCCCAGTGTAGCCCCGTGTGCCCCATCCCCGCTGCCCTCAGTTGCCCCCTCGTTGCCCTTTGTGGCCCATATATTCGCCCTTCGTGGCCCCCAGTCGCTTGTGCCCTCAGTGGCCTCATTGCTGCCCTTCGGGGCCCCAGTGTAGCCCCTTGTGCCCCCACCCGCTGCCCATCGTGGCCCCGCTGCTGCCCCACAGTCGGGGTACGCCCGCCACCCGCCCGTCTAGTTAAACCGCTTGTTTTCCTGATCTTAGCCAACCTCCTGTCAATCCCATTCGTGCTTCATCCTTCTCCTCCAAGTATCTCTCTCACTCTCTCTCTCTCTCCGTAGCCATTTGGCTCAAGCCATTCTGGCTCAAGCCATTTTGGCTCAAGCCATTTTGGCTCAAGCCATTTTGGCTCAAGCCATCTTGGCTCTGCCCAGGGTACTTTCACCAGCATTACTTGCTTTCCCTTGCAGTTGCAGCCATGGCGGGTGGCGGTGGCTCCTCGCTCGTCGCTCCCTGCGGGGTATGCGGCTGCAAGAAAACATGCCGTGGTACAAGTGGTGCAAGTCGTGCCACAACCCTCTGCCATCGCCTTTGGCTAAAGGTCGTCCTCGTGCTGGTGGGGATGGTCAGCTGCCTGATGGGGGTAAGCGCCTTCGTGGCGCCGATGGTGGTGGCAAAGGTGCTGGAAAGGGATATGGCCGTGCTGGCGTGCCGCCCCCTCCTTCCAGCAATCAGCAGGAGTACCTCGAGGCGCTCACCAAACTTTTCAAGGGCGTCGGCGATGGCCTCCCTGGGGCTGACGCCATCCTCCAGGCTCTGGCTGCCTCGTCCACGGCGGTCAAGCAGGCAGAGTTGGATAAGCAGAACGCAGGGATGCAAGCCTCTGCCGTTCAGAAGCAGCTGCTCTCGAAGGAGAAGGAGCTGCTGCAGATTACGGAATCTATTGAGTACCATCGTAAGCGGGGTGAGGAGCTGCGCACGAAGTCCATTCAGATCGGCACGGAGATCGAGCAGTTACGTGTGCGGTATCGTGAATTATCCGCCAAGGTTGCTCCTCCTGAAGAAGACCTTGCGGCGGAGGTTGACATCGCCAAGTTCAAAGACACGTTCTCGGCCATGGATGTCTTCCTGGTCCAGGCTGCGGAGGCTGTCCAGAAGGAGAGCTTGGCGGATCTCAAGGCCAAGATGGAGGCCGTGCGCAGCGCCTTGCAGTCTGGCAGGGAGCACCTCACCAAGTCCGGGGAGGCCGTCAAGGCTCGTGGGTCGTCGACGAGATCGGCTTCTGCTCCTTCGGCCAGGCCTAACATTCGCTCGGACGATGACCTCTACAACCTTTTGTGCGGGCCTACGGTCTCTGCTGAGGAGAAGAAGCGCAGGTTGGGGATGGTGGTGTCCGTTGCCAGCAGGTTGCGTACCTAATATCACCATAGCCTATCGGGAGGGGGCTTCGCGTCCTCCCACCAGGCCGCTGGAGGCCCATATTTCGCCTTCTGGGTGCACCGCGTCCTCGCCGGGCACCTTGTCGACAGGCCCCTCTGCTGCAGTCCTCACCCACCTCCCAGCGCATGCTGGTTGGCCCCCAGGGTTAAAGGGTGGGGGCGACTTCTTAGCGGAGGGGTCGGGGCCGTCTGCTGTACCTGGTCATTCACAGCGTTCTGATTCATCGGCGGTGAGCTGCACTAACCAGCCCAGTGTAGTTCTTCCCTCGGTCTCTGAGTTTCCTGGCAATGAGTTCGGTTTCATTCTGGAGACTTTCAATGGTTCGGGACGGGGAACTGCTCGTAAGAGACTGGAACAAACCCGCGCTCACATCGTGTTTATCCAGGAGCACAAGCTTCGCAGTTTTGAAGACATCAATCAGGCCAGTGCTTGGGGGATCCGCCACGGTTGGAAGATTCTGTGGGGGCCTGGATGTTCTGGGGAGGAGGGTGGTGCTTCTGCAGGCGTTGCGGTAGCAGTTCGTGCAGTTTTTGGATTCCACCCGCTTCTCGACGTCACTCAGGTCTCCCCTCACAGGTGCGTTGCAGGTGTCGTTCAGCGGCTAGGGCAGCCGCAGTTCTTAGTCGCCAGTATCTACTTGCACGATTGCGAGCAGATGAGCGATGCCAACGTCTCTATCCTCTCTGGTGCCATGTCGTTCCTGTTTCACTCGGGCTTGCCGTTCGTGTTGGGCGGGGATTTCAACATGGCCCCCGAAGTTCTTCTGGGCAACGGAATACCTGAGCTTCTGCGAGGCTCACTGGTGTCGGCGCCTGGGGATCGAGGGTCTTTGATGGGCCCCCGTGGTGCCAAGCACTACGACTACTTTCTGGTCTCTGGAGGCCTGAGTAAATGTGTTGAGGATGTTTCTCTGGTCGAGGGGGCTGCCACTTATCCTCATGTGCCTGTGTGTCTGGAGCCCCACAAGTCTCTTGGCACTCTACGGGCCCTCAGGTTTCGCAAGCCTCCGAAGATCCCCGTTGACCCTGCCATGGGGCCCGTGACGCAGCCGCCCGACTGGTCCCACACCCTGGAAAGCGCTGTCTCTGGGAGGGTGCAGGGGGCTTTTTCTGGGCTGGACTCGGCTTGCAAAGGGGGGCCAATCTCAGCGAGGTCGAACTTGTCAACTCGACGCAGTCGTCTATCCCAGTTTTTGGCACTCGTGGTCGCAGGCCTAGGTGCGAGTGGTGCGATCCGCTCGCTATCGACGCCAGGGCCGCTCCGCCGTCAGCGCAGCAGTCGGTCAATTTCTTTGTTGCGCAGCTGCGCGCTTTGATCGGGCACCTCGGCGCGGGCGACCCCGACGAGCGCCCGGCCGTGCAGTCGATCGTAGGTCAGATGCGACGCCCTCCTCAGTGTATCTTGGACCACCTGGGGCAGTGGTCTGTGGTTCACGATCAGGCTGTTTTATTCTTGGGACGTAGTGACGAGCTTTCCCTGGACGACTGGAGGTTATCTCTGACTCAGTTGTTGGAGGACTTCGAGGAGTCCCTCTCGGATGCCGTTGCTTTTACTCGGGGGGAATCCAGAGCTTCCTGGAGGCGGTGGATCTTGGGGGGCATCGAGAAAGGGGGCAAGGGGGCTCATCAGTACACGAGGGGCCCCCAGTCTTGGACACCAGCGACTACCCTGAGCTCCGATGGTGCCCTGGTTTCGGATCCACTCAGCCCCCTGAAAGCGGAAGCCCTCAAGTTCG